GGTTTCTCTGTGGCTTTGGAGCCTGTCCTGGTACTAGCTCTGTAGACCAGGCTGGTCTCGAACTCACAAAGATCCGCCTGCCTCTGCCTCCCGAGTGCTGGGATTAAAGGCGTGCGCCACCACCGCCCGGCTATGACTACCCATCTTGCAAGCTGCTTGTGCTCAAATGCCTTTTTCCACTCTTTGTGTTTAAAGTTTTATTTTATTTTTAGATTTGTGCGCGCACGTACACACATGGGCATATGTAAGTGCAATGCCTGTCCTGGCCAGAAGGGGGCATCAGATTCCCCTGGAACTGGAGTTACAGGCAGCTGCCTGGTGTGGGATCTGAGAATGAATCCCTGTCTTTGGAAGAGTACCAGGTGCTCTTAAACACCGAGGCGTCTCGGCAGTCCAGGACCCAAACCTGGTGACTGTTGGTATTCACAAAGGACAGGTCTTCCCACCTAAGGTAACAAGAGGACAGAGACAATCCCATTGCCTGTCGTGGTGGCGCACGCCTTTAATCCTAGCACTCAGGAGGCAGAGGCTGGTTTGAGTTTGAGGCCATCCTGGTCTGCAGAGCGAATTCCAGGACAGCAAGGGCTACATAATACAGAGACCCTGACTCAAACAAAGGACAGCAGTAAAACACAAAGAGTTTGCCTCAAGACTGGTCCACAGCTGCCCTGATCCACACGGTCCTCCACTGAGACTCCCTCCCACGTGGTCCTGGGTTGCTGCAAAGGGACATTTAAAACTGACTGTCAATGCAAGCTGCTGCGTGGTGAGGCCCTGGTTTCCATCCTGAGCCCCATATATATGCACATAGAGTTGGTCACGGTAGAGCAGGAGGATGGACGGAAGGGGCCACTCTTGTGGGCTCCTCTGGACCTGATTGTGCTACTGTGCTCACAGGAGACCAGGTGCTCATCCCTGGACGAGGGCACAACTGGAGCCAGCAAGGTGAGGAGAGCATCAATAGCCCCAGCTTTTAAATTCTACCCACCACCCACCCACCATCCATCCATCCATCCACCCATTCATCCACCCACCCATCCACCCATTCATCCACCCACCCATCCATCCACCCATTCACCCACCCACCCCCTCCACGAGTGCTCTTAGCCAGGGAGCCTTCTCCCAGCTCTCTCATTTGGACCTGGAGCTTGTAGGTTAGGCTAGACTGGCCCAGCATCTCCTGTTGCTGTGTCTACAGAACACTGAATACGACCAAGTGCCTCCACTCCCTGGCTTTAAACCTTACATTCATTCATTCGTATGTTTGTTCATTCATTCTTTCGCGTGCCTATCCACCTCGCCCATCGTCTTGAAGTTCCCATTGTGTCCAGCAGAGGGAAGCCGCCCCGTCTTTCGGGTTGTGTCCTGGAGGAATACCTTGGAGTTTTGGGGGGACTCTGCTTAGAATCCTGAATTTGCACGGAGGGTGCCTGGGTTTCTTGTTTTTCTAGAGACACTAGGGTGCACAGATCACCCCAGGTCCAGGTCCGACGCATGGCTGTTCTGGGGTTCCCAGGCAGGACTCCCTTTTTCCATTGCTAGGCAGTGGCAGAAAAATATTTAATGAATTGGGGAAGAGAAGAGATCCCCCAGATTCACAGGGGGGCTGTGTCTAAGAAGAGGTGAGACCTGGGTCTCATATCTCATGTTGCCATGAGGACCCGTTATTAGCAAGGTCTCACACTCGCCAGCTTTCTGGGATCTTCCCTTAGGAGCCGCAGGAACTGACTGGACAGCTCCTAAGCACCCCAAAGCC